CCCTGCTCAAGTTGGTAGTTTGCTCATGTGGTCAGTCGGCAGGGGAAGGTTGGAAGGGGCGTGCAACAGCTCCGCTCTCCTTGTATCCACCCCCCGGGTCAAATAAAACCACAATATCTCCACAAAACAAAACATTTGTAAAAAATGGATCCATGGCAAATCGTCCCCTATTTTTTTTGTCCCTTTGACAATTCGTCCCCACCTTCTTCGTCCTCGGTTATTTTGCTGAAAAAAATTATGTCCCGAGTATACTTTTGTCCTATTGCCTGCACGTTCGATCCAGCTCCTGACATCTTCACCCAAATTCTGGCAATACATGGTGAAGTGAGCAACGAAACTCTTCCTTTAGCATACGCCTTGCTACCTGACAAATCAGTAATATCGTAGATCAGAGTCCTATCAGCTATCCTGAGGAAATGTGAAGAGTTCCGGATGCATCGTCCTAGTCCCCGGCTCGTCATAAAGAATTTTAAAAAAGGACTCATCAATGCAGTAAAGCTAGCCTTTCCAAACGCCTTCATCAAACTGTGCCTCTTCCACCTTCGGCAATCAGCCTTCAGAAAAATTCAAGAGCTGGGGCTGCAGGTCGCCTACCGGGACGAATAGAACACGGAGGTGAGAGACACATTTCGACAAGTAGTGGGTTGTATGTTCGTCCCGACGGAAGATGTCGTCGCAAGCTTTTAAGTAACTTCAAGTAACTGGACAACTGGAAAACGTGCGCCAATTTGTAAGAAATTGATTTGGGGGACAAAACATGGGGACACGTAGGATGGGGTCATACTGACAGGGGACTACAGAACAGAGGTGGGGACGAATTGTCTTAGGGACGATTTATATGGGGACGTACGAGCCTGTTCCCGTAAAAAATCGAATAGCATATTATTGTATCGACGTGGCACGCGTTATGACCGTGAAGGGTTCGTCCTCGGCTATGCTACGACATGGGCCGAGGGTGTTGAACACAATAGGTTACGCCATATGCCGCGCGGCCCCTTCGCCCCGCCCTACCTGAACACGGTACGCCTTGTTACACGGCCGAAAGAAATGGGAGAGAACGGTAAATTATGTCATTACACATATTGCAGTTGGAAATTTACCGAAGACCATTAGGTCTTAGTTTTCTATAATGAACTGGAGACAGCAATTTCGTCAGAATACCAAAGTCCGACTCACAAGGTCTAACAACAGTACCGCTTACAAGGTGCAAACAACACAATTACAAAAAAGATACGAAACGTCTCGAAAAGCGTAGTGCGACTACCAGGAACGATGATTGGAGCTTTCCGAACTGCAGTGTACGGTGCGAAGTATTCTTCTCTGTAAAAAGAGGGAGGGGGAGAGTGACAAAGACGGAGAGGAGCATCCGTGGTCGACTGTCGGTGGGATGAGCGTTTCGTATTTTCCGGAGAGCAATTTGGTCTTGGCCAGCTCGGGCTGGCGCTCTGATTCAGATTAATAACCTCTCCTGCCTGAGCTCCAAGTGCCCTGATGGGCTTCAGAGGGAGCCCCGGCGAGTACCTGGCTGGCTTGGCGGGCCCCGGGGGCGTCTACGGAGGGTCAGAAAATCTCTGACGCCCGAACCGGCCCGGCGCGGCTTCAGCCTCTCCCCTGCTACAGCTAATGTGCTATTTCCGATCACTCCCATCAGCCTCTCTCACCACCTTTGCGCTTCACACTGCACGACTCTTTGCTGGTGTTGTCCATGTCCATACTCTGAAAACCCAACAGCATGCATTGCATGCGTTATATAAAGCATGCATGGTATGCATGCTGTATTTAACGCATGCATTGAGATGCATGCTGTTTTTAACGCATGCATTGGGATGCATGCTGTATTTAATGCATGCATTGAGATGCATGCTGTTGCTACAACTCGTTTTCGTGGAATATTTACTAAGTGAGCTTTTCGGTTTTATTTTTGATAAGTCTATCGGATTCCTTGTGAAATTTCCGTTCGAACGAACCTACATGTGATGGGGTTCCCAACTTGAATACCAACACTTCAAATTTTTTTTAAAAGAAACCCGCTAAACTGAACGTACGAAGTAACTATGCGTCGGGGCCCTATCACATGTAGGCTCGTTCGAACGGAAAATTCACAAGGAATCTGATGGTCTTATCAAAAATAAGACCGAAAAGCTCACTTAGTAAATATTCCACGAAAACGAGTTGTAGCAACAGCATGCATCTCAATGCATGCATTAAATACAGCATGCATCTCAATGCATGCGTTAAAAACAGCATGCATCTTAATGCATGCGTTAAATACAGCATGCATACCATGCATGCTTTATATAACGCATGCAATGCATGCTGTTGGGTTTTCAGAGAGGACAGCCATCAGCGTGTAATGGAGACCGGAAATAACATCTCTTAGGCCGGAAACATTTTGTTATTGACTGTTATTGATAAGCGATGTCTTTTGCGACTCGGAGTGCAGTTGGGGGAAGACGTTTACCCGCTTCGCTCCCCTTCGGTGGTCTGATCCCCAAATTCCATCAGACTCACTCTTCCTGCTCTGTACAGTTCTTACGCCACTTACCTTCCTTACCCTCCCCTTTTGCAGGCCAAGCCAAGGGTTAAATTACAAGGTACAGTGTACGCTGGGGCCAGGGGAAAAGGGTGGGGGGGGAGGGGGATTTAGCTCCGTGTCCGGAGCGGGCGTCTGTGGGGAAGGGAGAGGGGAGGAGTGGGAAGTCGAGGTCATCTGCTAAAGGGACGCTACTAGAGCAACATTGTACGTCCGGCGTAAGACCGGGTAAGCCCTGCTCAAGTTGGTAGTTTGCTCATGTGGTCAGTCGGCAGGGGAAGGTTGGAAGGGGCGTGCAACAGCTCCGCTCTCCTTGTATCCACCCCCCACTTTGCTCCGCTAATTTCACGACAAGTCCACGGTCTTCAAAGAAATCCACACACACACACACACACACACACACACACACACACACACATTCTCACTCTAAGTGTATACACACTTGGGTCTCCACATTAACTTGCAATCCAGAGATTAAACGACAAAATTTAACAGCAATGAATCAGCGCGCAACTCGAGGGTTAACTCATTTAAAGAACCACCATTCAGAGCAGTGAATGGTTTTCTGAGTGTGATGGCATCACTCGATGGTGATTGAAGTGATAGCGACGCTCCATTTGTTTGGTGTGGTTTCTCACACGAACACCTGGCGCCTCCTTATCAGCCAGGCCCCGCCCTGTTCGCGACGGAGCCGCCGCTGTGCCGCCGCGCCAGTAATGGCACTGAGTTGTTGGCCTCCAAGCGCTCGTTACAGCTGCACGCCTTCTCTCCTCATATTTCCATTCTGATTATTCCAACACTCAGTGCCTCAGTCTCTCCTCCAGTGTCTCTCTGTCTCTCATCCCATCTCTCCCGTCTTTGACCTGTCTCTCCCCCTATTCCCCCTCCTCTGAGTCCATCCACCCCCCTGAGGCTCTCTTCTTGTCTCTCCACGACTCCACCCACCGCCGCTTATTTCTTTATGCTTTCGTACAAACCCCTTTTCTTCAGCTATTGTTTATCATTCACGACAATGCCTCGAAGTGCCACATTGGGGTGCTAGTCACTAACGAATTCCAAATCTTCAAATTGTTATAAAATTCTGTTGTGCAGAACAAAATAGAGCAGTATCGTTGTCAGCCACAGGGCAGTGGAGCGTGTCTGAGAAACTGCATCCCCATATGCGTAAAGCAATATGTGCGGCCGTTTGTATGTCGCACTATACGGTCCTGCGGGGCGTGGCGCAGCGTGGCTGTGGGGGCACCAACCTTGGAGAAATGACGCACATTACCTGCTGAGCTGCGGTATATTGCGAGCGAACGTTGAACCGAACGAACGAAGAGTGTGTCGTTATTTCGCAATCTATATCCCCGTACTGGAAAAGGGAACACCTAGGCCGTACTCGTCGGCAGTATATGCCTGTAGTATCGTGGTGCTAATTCTGAACTGTCCTGTCTTACAGATGTGACTGCCGCCGCCATGGGATGCTTCTGCAAGAAGGTGCGCACCCTGCTGTGCAAGGTGGTGCTGCTGGACGAGCAGGAGCTGGTGCAGGAGATACAGGTGAGTCTTGGGTATTCGAGCCATGTCATGGGGTGACCAATTTCTCAATCAATTAGCGCTGAGCAGGGCGAAAGGAGCTTCGCTGCTGGCGTCCGAAACAGAGGGAAGATTGGCGGGAGAGGGTGAGGGGGGGGGGGGCGCAGGGACACCTGAGCCCTGTGAAGCCCCCTGTAAGCCTAGCCCGAGCACGATGTCCGTCCGCCACCTGCCGGGCCGGGCGGCGGGTGAGGCACAGCAGCGGTGTGGTCCCCCCCTGCCTACGCACGAGTCCACCGCTCTGGCCTGTGCCCTCCCCTCCCCCCCTACTGATTTCATAACCCCCCCCCCCTGGATGTCGTTCCGCTTGCTTGGCATGAGGGGACGCAGCCTGCATTTGCTGCGCCGCAGGACTTCAAGGAAAATTTCCCTCATCGAGCGGAAAATCAAAGAGGCAATGTGGTGCTTTTGGAAAACTAAAGGGAAAAAGCGAGCTTATATATTTTTACGAGACGCGGTACCCACCTTCCATCTTCTTCATCAGTAGTGCCCCCTCTCCTCCCTCTCCTCCTCCCTCTCTTTGCTCCCTCTCTCTCCCACTCCGCATCCCTTTCTCCCTCCCTCACTCTCACACACACGCTCACAATAAAGCAACAAACGCTCCCCGGCCTGCTCCGCGCATGCAAATCCGTGTCAAGTCGCGGCGAGACGCGGGGGGTGAGGGGGAGGAGCGGGGAGGAGGGCCTGTGAAGAAGACTTTGTGGAATGGTCTAAATTCTCGGCGTTCTTCTTCTTCTGTGTCGTCGTCCTATCCCCGCCCCTTTGCGCCAGGCTCGCCGCAGTCGTCGGGCCCCCGCGCCTTGCCGCGCCACGGAAGCAAAGATCCTCGCCGACCTGGAGCACTCAGGAGCCGAGTGCCAATGTGGAGACTGAGCAGCTTCCTCGCCGCGCCGGCGCTTTATGAAGCAGGCCTCCGGACAATTGTTTTGAGGGGCCTCCCGGCCGGAAGCGGCGGGGAAGCAGGGCGCCAGTCGGGACCGGGAGAAGGGAGAGGGCGGCTGAGGAAAAATAACAAGCGGCACCAGAGACGAGCCGGCAGCGGCGGCAGATTGATCGGGAAATACGAAGGGGGTTGTGTGAAATGAAGAGGATGAGACAGTGTCATCGGGGGGTCTTGTGTGAGAGAGAAACCTGGAGGGGAAGCCATTAGAAAAGAAGTTGGCACTTTTGTATGAATAAGTAAAAGTTTGAAAACTGTTTGGTTTTGTTTTCGTATACGAGTTCCACTTTTGATGCGCAGTTGCGGTCACCCGGGTGGTCCTATATATACTCTGCCGTGAGGGATGCAACGAGATGGTATACACGATGGTATGATGAGGCAGGATGGATGAAGGGGTAGAAGAAGACGGCGATTAACGTGGCGCTGATGACGGCGATGACCAGGGAGCCAGGGAGCTGGTAATGGTAATGAGGTATCGGGGGTCATGTGGTCGCGTGAGGCGGCCGCACGCGAGCCCGCCCTAAGTACAGCCCCGGCCTCGGCCGTGACGCGCGTAGCGGCAGCAACGCTCTTGCAGGGGCCTTACAATGAGGGGCCCACACAACCCGGACCGGGCGACCCGTCCCTCCTTCCCCGTTGTGGTTGTTTTGTGTCGACAAATATGCACGCGCAGTTTTTATTTCGTCCCTGGTTTTCTCTGCTTGCTGCTGCCGCTGGACCGGTGGTGGTAAGGCTGCGCGAGGATAGGACGAAGAGGACGCAGATGAGGTGCGGAGCGCCGCTGTATTGTAATGCACGCCGCATTTCCCACACGTCCCACGACCGCGAGCTTCTTCACTGACTCCCGCGGCCGTGAGACAAAGACCAGTGACGGGCACGTGCACGGCCTGGAGTTTACTGTGCAATGCGCGCGCGCGCGTGTGTGTGTGTGCCCCGTGTTTACGAGGCTCACCGTTCGAATAAGTCATCTTGCGTTTATCTTTTGCTATCCCAAGTCCTCTCCTTTTTCTCTTTTGGAGATTTTATGATTTTCTTGGGGGTGAGAGGAAGGGG